GGGGAGATTTTTTTTTAAAAATTGGAACCCCATTTAAAAAAAAAAAAAAAAAAAAAAACATGCCATGGGCAGGAGGGTTGGCTCAGTGAGTAAAGGTGCTTGCAGTCAAACCTGAAGACCTGAGTTTGATCCCCAGGATCCAAATGGTGGAAGGAGAGAACCAACTCCCACAAGTTGTCTTCTGACCTCAGCATACACACATGTAAATAAATCAATGAAATTTAAACATTAAAAATAAATAAAATACATGCCATGTGGGGCTGGAAAATGGAGCTCAGTACTGGAGTGCTCACCCGGCATATATGAGCCCCTGGGTCCCATTCCGTGTGCTCCAGAAACAAAACCAAATACCCCACATAAAATACATGTCATTTTTAATATACATTCTTACAACTTTTCATTTTCCCCTGAGGAAAACAGGCTCTAACCAATAAATGATGGCTGTGTCAGATTGGGACCAGAATCCTAGTTACATTAGGAAAGTTAGTTTTGACATCTTCCGCTTTTCAATGATTTTATATTCCTTGCAAGAATATTTGCCTGCTGGTTTCTGTTAGCATTTCTATTGAACAGTTCTGGCACAATCCTGGCTAGAAATAGAGTCTATTTCTGTATCCTTTGGCCTCAAGCTCTGGTGTTACATGTAAGTGACATGTATTTTATATAGTGAGATATTTATTTTATTTAAAAAATATTTTGCTTATTTTTATTTTATGTGTATGAATGTATTGCCTGTATGTAATAAGTGCACCCATGTCATGCAATGCCCCCAGAAGTCGGAAGAGGACATTGAATGCCTTGGAACTGGAGTTATGGACAGTTGTTAGCCACCATGTAGCTGTTGGGGCCTCTGCAAGAGTAACCAGTGCTCTTAACCACTGAGCCATCTCTCCAGCCCTGAATTTTTTTTTAATTTTTTGCATTCATTTATTTGTTTTGTATATCTGTGGGTGTGTGGAACTGTACATGTATGGGGGTCAGAGGATAACTTTGGGGAATTTGTTCTCTCCTTCTACCACATGAGTTCTGGGGCTAGAATTCCAGTTGCAGGCTTGGTAGCAAGCACCCTTACCAACTGAATCATCTTGTCAGCCCACAGTTCGTTGTTACTGTTTAAGAAAAAAACTTTAAAACTTTTTGGTCTTTTTTGAGACACGGTCTCCCTGTAGCCCCAGCTGTCCTGGAACTTACTATGTAGACCAGGCTGGCCTTGAACTCACAGAGATCCACCTGCCTCTGCCTCCCGAGTGCTGGGATTAAAGACATGCACCACCATGCCTGGCTTATTTTATTATTTTTGTTTTATGTGTATGAGTGTATTGCCTGCATGTATGTGAGTGCCGTCGTGTCATGCAGTGCCATGGAGGTCAGAAGAGGGCTTCTGATTCCCCTGGAACTGGAGTTAAGGATGGTTTGTAGCCACCATGTGAGTGCTGGGAATCGAACTTGGGTCCTCTGCAAGAGCAGTCAATGCTCTTAACCACCGAGCCATCTCTCCAGCACCTGTTATTTTTATTTTATGTGTATGAGTGTTATGCCTGCATGTAGGTAAGTACACCCATGTTGTGCAGTGCCCTCAGAGGACAGAAGAGGCTGTCGGATCCCCTGGAAATGGAGTTACAGACAGTTGTTAGCTGCTATGTGGGTGCTGGGATTCAAACCTAGGTCTTCTGCAAGAACAGTGTTCTTAAACGCTGAGCCCTCTCTCCAGACCCCCAAAAAACACTGTTTTAAGATTCCTGTAATTGCAGTTCATCGAGATCCAAGCCTGTGTCCTCCAAGGGCACCTTCGTTCACATGTTATTTATGTATATATTTTTTCTTTTTAAAAAATTATTTATTTAATAACCACATACTTAGAACAAGCATTTCATTACAACAGCATTGATATATTCAATAACAATTTCCAGAGCTAAGATGCATCTCTTTCAAAATTTGCTGTAAATTTTTAGCTTTACAGCGCCTACATAGTAAGTTCCAGGCCAGCTTAAAGGGATGTAAATGTGAGGTTATGGGTTTTGTATAATCAAATAAGATTTTGTACTAAAAATAAAAAGTGAGGACAAAACTGACATAAAATTAAATGAGGTTTTAACCTTTAAAAAACATCTCCATTTCATTATTAAAATACACAGTTTCATACAGAAAAATTCATTTCTAATGCAATTGACATTAAGATGTTTGCACCTCACCTGCGTTTCTAATCCCTGTATATCTGATTAGTACTAGTCACAGTTGACTTTCTGAGCTCCTTCACATCTGAGCATGACTATAAACTCATCAGGTAGATTTCAATGGTAATGTTTTTCATACCTACTAATTATTAAGGAGCAAATTTTTATGCATTGAAGAATTATTATTTTTCAATCTTTTTAAAAAATTTTTAATAACTACATGATTAGAAGAAGAATTTCACTACAGCTTTAACATATTCAGTAACACACTCCAGAGCAAGAGTACATCTCTTTCACAAGTGGCTGCAAGTGTCTAGGTTCAAGTTTCTAGGTTCACAGTTGAGTTAATAGTTATACAGTATTGAACTCAGTATAAGCCCTGTAAGACATAAAATTGAATGAGTTTTTTAACCTTTAGATCTCGATTTCATTTTAGAATATATTGTTCCTTGCAGAAAGACTCGGTTTTGCTACTAACACTCAGATGTTGGCACATGCATCTATAATCTGTATGAATCCATTACTAGTTATAATCGGTTGCACTTGGATCCTTGGTGCTGTGTATGTCTATAAAGTCATCGGGTAGATGTCATTGGTAATATTCATCATCTCTACTAATTAACATGGCATAAATTTCCATGCTTCCTTC